CCTCACCCGAGGACATTTTTCCATTTTTTTGTTGTTGTTGTTCAGGTAGAGTGGGAGGGAGAGAGAGGAACAGAGAGAGAGAGAGAGAAACATCGACGTGAAAGGAACACATCGAGTGGCTGCCACCCGCACAACCGACCAGGGCCGGGGACAAACTGCAGCCGAGGTATGTGCCCTTAGCGGGAACCGAACCCGGGTCTCTCAGGACCGCAGGCCGACGCTCTAACCGCTGAGCCAAACCGGCCAGGGCATTGACCAGTTTTATTTCTTCTTTTCCAATCTCTCTTTCACCATATGTGTGTGTGTGTGTGTGTGTGTATGTGTGTGTGTGTGTATATGTTTGTTACATCACTATACTGGGTAGAACTTTCAGTTCATATCAATAAAATTCAATTCTCATTCCTACTTTTCTAAGGATTTTGTGAACCATGAAAGTTACATGGAATCAAATGCAGATGTTGCAATGGTTATGTGCTTTTTTTCTTCTTTAATATGTTACTGTAGTGAGATACATTGAATTCATTTTTAAAATATTAAGTCAACCTAGTACTTCTGGAATGATCCAACCTGGTCATGATGTTGTGTGTGTGTTTACATCTCTGCTACACAGACCCACTGTTTGTTTAGGCTGCTCACATATATGTTTATGATTGAGACTGGCCAACAATGGCCCTTTCCTGTAAAGTCCTAGTGAGTTTTGGTGTCAAGTCAGGCTAGTTCATAAAACAAATTTTATGGAGATTATGAAATTTTATGGAGATTATTTTCTCATTGACTATTTCCAGAAATCGCTGTGTAAGAATGGTTTTATTACTTCCTCACATTTTTTTTAAATCTTCACCTGAGAATATTTTTCTGTTTATCTTCAGATAGTGTGGGACCAGGGCCGGGGGATACGGTGAGGTGACGGGAAATGAACCCGTGACTCATTGGTCCGCAGGCCGACGCTCTAACCGCTGAGCCAAACCGGCCAGGGCACTTCCTTAAATGTTTATAGATTCTCCACTGTCACCTGCCTAACCCTAACCCTACAGGGCCTAGTGCTGCCTTGGGGAAGGCTTTAACTGGCAGACGCCATTTCTTTAATAAGACTACTCGCGCTATTTCTTGTGTCCATATCGATAAACTGTGTTTTTCTAGGGATTTGTCCACTTAGTAAAATTAACAAATTTACGAACATCTAGTTGTTCATGGTATTATTTTATTATCTTTTTAATGTGTACGGCTTCTGTTCTAAGTCCTCTTTAATTTTTTTTTGTTTTTGGTACATGCCCCTAGCGGGAACCGAACCCGGGTCTCTCTGGTCTGCAGGCTGACACTCCAACCGCTGAGCCAAACCGGCCAGGGCAGTCCTCTTTAATTCTTAATATTAGTTTTGTATACTTTCTGTTTTCTTAATAAGAGCTTTAGTACTTTTATTAGTCTGTTCAATAAACCAATGTTGGCTTTGTGATTTTTTTTTTAAACAAATTTCTTCTTTCATCCTTATTCCATGTACTTTATTTAGGTTAATTTTTGCTGGTTTTTTTTTTTTTTTTTACCGCTTGAGATGGATGTTTAGCTCTTTAATTCTTAACCTTCTTACTTTTCTAATATATGCATTTAAGGCGATAAATTTCCCTTTAGGCATGATTTTGGCTGCTTCACACGATTTTGATATGCTGTATTCTTATCATCACTCATTTAAAATATTTTAAAATTTGGGGGGATCCACTTTCAGTTTGGATTCCAATCATGAAGTTGCTCTTCTAAAAGAAGCAAAAACAAACCAAAAAAATCACCCTTTCCATCTGTTGGTCAGAAAACAAAGGGCCTTCATGATTGACCAGTAATTCCTGAGAGACTATGCAACTTGTAGAAGGTATTTCCAGGGAATCTTTAAGTTTAAACCTTTTTTTTTTTTATCCTCACCCGAGGACATTCTTCCATTTTTTGTTCAGGTAGAGTGGTGGGGAGAGAGAGGAACAGAGAGAGAGAGAAACATCAATGTGAAAGGGACACATCGAGTGGCTGCCACCCGCACAACCGACCAGGGCCGGGGACAAACTGCAACCGAGGTACGCGCCCTTAGCGGGAACCGAACCCGGGTCTCTCAGGAACCGCAGGCCGACGCTCCAACCGCTGAGCCAAACCGGCCAGGGCTGAGTTTAAACCTTTTTAAAATATATATGTAAGGGGGGAGGGAAGAGATAAACCACAGAACTCATATGCATGTACGCATAACCAATGGACAGGGTGGGGGAGAGGGGGAGGAGGGTGTCAATGGGGAAAAAAGGAGAAACATCTGTAACAAAAATAAAATAATAAAAAATAAATAAATAAATAAAATATAACATCCAAAAAATATATATATATGTAAATGTTTAAATCCAATACATAAAATCAATTTGGCACAACTGCAGATGGAAACCGAACTTCATGCAAAAAGGAGAAAAAAATTTTCATGAATAAATACATGAAATATTTAAAAATGTGTACTGTGAGCTCCTCTTTGACCCATGAGAAGTTTAGAAATAGATTTCTTGACCAAGGAGATGGGCTTCCTTCTAGTTATGTTGTTACGGATGTTCTATAGACTGTTTTCCCTCTGAGCCTGCTTATGCGGGATTCCCATGCTTTGAAATGTGTTGAAAGCGCTGCGTGGCCTGGCATGTGGTCAGTTTTTGTAAATGTCCTGTGTCCTTGTAAAGAACGCAGTGGACAGTTGTGGGCTCAGTGTTCTGTGCCTGTCCCTACGTCATTTTCCTCACTGGAACTGGGGGGAAGCGTTCAAATAAAACTTGGGTCGGAAACAGGGCAGACCCTAAGGAGAACCTTACTGGAGCATGCCTGGAGGTGGGGTGGGCAGGGTGGGGACCTGAGGCCCGAGTGCATTCGAGACCCCTTTCCGACAGTGGCCCGGGACAGCATTACATCATTTGAAAATCAGCGGCATCGGTTATCAGGAGTGAGAATGATAGGAGCAGCTGTGACGCACCCAGGCAGCCGCGCCAAAGCATCCTCAGGACACGCTGGGACCAGCCAAGGCGGGAGGACAATGAAGCCGCACGGCTCCCCAAGCCACACCCCACGCACGACAGGCCACGCCCACGAAGGCCCCGCCCACGCGGCCCGGGCCCCGCCCCGCCCCCGGGGCGATCGATGGCTCCGGCGCATCACGCGGCCTGCGGGCCTCGGCGCTCAGCTCCGCATGCCTGCGGCGCTGCCATGGAGACGCGGCTCTGCGCCGACTGCGCCCCTGGGTCGCAGGCGCCTCGCCCCGCGGCCCCACCCCGGAGGTGACAGCGGAGGGGGCGAGCGGTGAGAGGAGGGGACCCGGGACGCGGGGAGGCGACGGGGACGTGCCATGGGGGGTGCGGGGCGAGGGGTGACCCGGGATGCGGGGAGGCGACGGGGACGTGCCATGGGGGGTGCGCGGCGAGGGGTGACCCGGGACGCGGGGAGGCGACGGGGATGTGCCATGGGGGGTGCGGGGCGAGGGGTGACCCGGGACGCGGGGAGGCGACGGGGATGTGCCATGGGGGGTGCGCGGCGAGGGGTGACCCGGGACGCGGGGAGGCGACGGGGACGTGCCATGGGGGGTGCGGGGCGAGGGGTGACCCGGGATGCGGGGAGGCGTCGGGGACGTGCCATGGGGGGTGCGCGGCGAGGGGTGACCCGGGATGCGGGGAGGCGTCGGGGACGTGCCATGGGGGGTGCGCGGCGAGGGGTGACCCGGGATGCGGGGAGGCGTCGGGGACGTGCCATGGGGGGTGCGCGGCGAGGGGTGACCCGGGACGCAGGGAGGCGACGGGGATGTGCCATGGGGGGTGCGGGGCGAGGGGTGACCCGCGATGCGGGGAGGCGAAGGGGACGTGCCATGGGGGGGGTCCAGGGCACAGGCGGGGTGAGGGGTGACCCGGGTTGTGGGGAGGCGAAGGGGCCGTGCCATGGAGGGGCCCGGGTGCAGGCAGACGAGGGGACACTCAGCAGCAGCCCACAGTGAGGCCGGACTGGGCGCGGTGGGGTGTAGGGAGCAAGGCCCCACGGAAGGTTAGAGGAGTTTGCATGGGGGGGGGAGCATTTCCGGGGGAGGCCGGCTGTGGATGCTTCCGTTCGGTTTTCACCTGACATCATTTTTCTTTCCAGGAGCAGAAACGGGGCGCTGGTGGCTGGGCAGCCAGGCTGGTCTGGGGGCCCTCCCTGGGCACCTGTGCCTTCCAGGTTCTGGGGCGTGCTTCACCGATGGGGACATGAACGCGCCAAGGAGCCGCTTGCCGGGATGCCCCCCTCCTTAGTTCATAAAAACTAGGACTAGGCTCAGTCTGGTCACCGAGAGGGGCTGGGATAGTGCGATGTGCCGGCCTGACACCCATCCAGAGTGCGACTCTGGGGCACAAAACCTGCCACTGCACCGGAGCCCTCGCTCCCCACACCGGACTGCGTGTTCATCTCCGGTAGTACCACCCCGGGGAAGGGCTGCGGACTAGCCAGACAGAAGGCACGGAGCAGACGCTGCCCCCACCCCCCAGTTCCAGCTCACCCAGCTGCGCGGTGGGCCATCCGGGCACTGCCGCGGACGTCTGTGCCGCTGTACGGACGTCCTTTCAGTCAGGACACCGATACGTCTTGTCAAGTTAAGTGGTCTGAGCTGTGGTGTCAAAATCACAGCAGGCACCTGACAAATCCCCCGAGGTAGGTGCCTGGTCCCAGGCAACTCCACACCTAATAAAGTGCACACAGCTGTCCCCAGAGAAGGCTGTGGCCAGGGACCCACGCTGACCTGCTTGCCGTCTCACAGAGGCTCGTCTTCAGAATGCTCACAGGCTCCTCTTAAGTCTCCCTGCAACACCACCCCCTTAAGGGTGCCGCCTGTGAACCCTGGTCTCTACCATTGTTAAGTAAGGAACCCTCAGACCCAACAGCTGGAAAGCGTGCTCATTGGCGCACTCAGCGCAGAGCCGTGGGGAGGGCTGGCCGAGGCCGCAGGCTCAGGGCCCAGGGCCGGGCTCTGGCCAGGGATGAGCGGCCGCATCCCCCTGGCAGAGAAAGCCCTGTCCGAAGGCTACGCCCGGCGGCGGTACAGGGACACCTCCCTGACCATCTGGCAGCAGCAGCAGCAGCAGCTGGAGTCTGTGCCGCCCGGGACCTACCTGAGCAGGAGCCGAAGCATGTGGTACTCCCAGTACGGAAACGAGGCCATCTTAGTCCGAGACAGAAACAAGCTTGGGGTCCCCCGGGACACAGGCCAGTCCAAGTTTTGCACAATTATGTGATCACGGTGTGAAAACCGGGGCTCAGGCGCCACACTGAGAACAGGCCACGTCTTTGCCGTCTGTGGATCACCGGGCCTCACAGGGAGACTTGAACTGGGGTGTAAGAACCTGAGGACCCTAGAAGCGGCTCTAAGCCCCTGGGCAAGTGTTGGCGTGACTGGTCGGCTGGCCGCTGAGCTGTCCAGGCTCTCCGCTTGGCTTCCCATAAATCAATCAAGAGGGACACCTTGTTTACAACCAACTTTCCCCAGCTAGGCGGGATGTTTTTATTTATTCATTTTTTTCAATTATTAGTTTTTTTGTTTTACGGGAGGGGGTTGGAGGGAGAGAGAGAGAGAGAGAGAAACATCGCCATGAGAGAGAGACATTGACTGGTTGCCTCCTGCACAACTCCAACCAGGGCCAGGGACAAACAGCAACCGAGGTATGTGCCCTTGACTGGAATTGAACCCATGACTCTGGTCCGCGGGCCGACGCTCTAACCACTGAGTCAAACTGGCCAGGACTGTAGATTTTTTCAATGCTCACTTTGCCGGGTGAAGAATGGAAAAAGGGGAAGGAGCAGGCACCTCATGGGGTTGAAAACCAGGTGCAGGACGGGCGATGTTCCCTATCGGCTGGCGCTCGTGCCTGCAAGAACTCTGGTGCACCTGCGTGTGAACTAGTCCCTGAAACGACCGTCAGGTGTGACGCACCTCAGTGGCTTCCACACTGGCTTCCAAATACCTGAGGAATGCGGGCAAATGCATCAAGAAACAGTACAGAAACCAAAAATGACCTTGAAGTTCCACGCCATTCTTACAGGGATTTCCGACTTGACAACAGGGCTGGAAGAGGCAGGGTCTCCAGGTGGCGAAGGCCCACTGTCCGCAGCGCCTGGGACTCGCTGTCTGCTGTAACCACGGTCCGCGCGGAAGTCCCTTCTGTCAAAGCTGATTCTTTTCTAAATAAATATTCTCTAGGGCTCTCCTCACGCTCTTATTTTTGTCAGTTTATAACGTGTTCACTCGGCTTTCGTTTTCCATATTTAACGATTGCTAAAAACCCAACACAGAAATGTAGAAGGCAAAGCAACGGTGCCCTCCCCAGCGCCGCTGGTCGCAGTCTCGCAGTCACGTCCCCAGGCGGTGGCCCGCACCCTGCACTGTTGTGGATCTTCTTCTTGCTCAGTTGCTCAGATGGCATTAACGCTGTGCTCCGACTGGCTGCCGGGCAGCGCTCCTGGGAGCCCGCGGGCCGGCAGGTGCCGGACGGGCTTGTGAGTGAACAGCATCCCAGAAGCAGCACTGTGCGGTCACACTGCGTTCCCAGAGGCTCACCTCCAGCCGGGGCCTGGTCCTTGCGGAGGGGGAGGCTGGAAGTCAGACGGCCTTCACCTCCCGCAGCTAGACGCGAGCCTCTGCAGTCAGTCAGGGCACGCCTGCCCAGAAGTCCCGCCCTAGACTCCCCCGGCAGACGGGTTCTTTGCTTTAAGGCCTGCTTGGGAAGAAAGCCAACCTCAGAGACGCGTCTGGAACGCCTCTGCTCACACCGCAGACTAACCTGAGGCTGGGCCGTGGGTGGGCTGACCCAGAGCACGGAGGCAGCTTCTGGGAGGGGTGCTGGCCTCGGCCGGCGTGTACACGCGTCGGGGTGTGCAGGTGACCACGCCCTGGGACACTCGGAGGACAGGTGCTTAGAGAGAAGGATGCTGCCTGCCCAAGGGAAGCCTGGGACACAGCCCCTGGCCCTCAGGGAGGTGCTGGGGGAGAGGGCGAGGTCTGGACAAGGTGACAGGTGCTGAGGGAACACAGGCAGGGTGCCCACCAGCTGCCTGTACGTGGGATGTCACGAAGCTGGGACTTGAGCCGACAAGAACCTCCTCCCAGGGATGGCAACGTTTGGAAGGTGACGTCAGGACCCTTGTTTGCCGTGTCGCCTCATTTGTTCTCCACCAAAGCCGGGTGGAGCCGTGGCACGCAGACCCGCTTGCCGTGGTTCCGGGGAGAGGTCCACTGAGCCAGCTGGGCAAGTGCGTGATGGCTGAAGCCCGGGAAACCACCTGAGTGCAGACTGCGGCGCCAGAGGGGGGCACGCCGGGGGGGGGGCATGCTGGAGTGGGGGGTACTCTGGAGGGAGGGCACGCCGGAGGGGAGGGCACGTGGGGGGGCACGCCGGAGGGGGGGTACGCTGGAGGGAGGGCACGCCGAGGGGGGGCACGCTGGAGCGGGGGGTACGCTGGAGGGAGGGCACGCGGGGGGGGCACACCGGAGGGGGGGGGGGCACGCCGGAGGGGGGGTACGCTGGAGGGAGGGCACGCGGGGGGGGCACACCGGAGGGGGGGGGGGCACGCCGGCGAGGGCTGGAAGACAGGAATCCGCACTACTGAGGGCAGGCGATCCACAGAGCCAAGTAGCTGGAAAGACGGGATGTGAACTTTCTCAGGCAGCAATGCTGCTCCCTAAATCCTGGTGCCTCCCTGCCCAGGCCGAGGGGCAGAGCCACAGGCCACAGGCCACCAGGGCGGGCAGGCAGGGGCGTCGGCAGGGGAGGGGAGGGGAGGGGAGCACCGGAAGTGCAGGAAAAGGCACACAGGGCACCTTGTTTTTGTTTGCTTTTATTATGAAAACAAAACAAATGCCCCAGGAGAAGGGTCCAGGATTACCAGCAACATCAAAGAGTACTTTCTACCATTTTTATTCTGTTGTGTTGAGGCCAGCATTGCAATAAACAAGCTAAAACTACTTACATTGGACTCATTTTCAGTAACTGACATTTACAGGGATATACTAGAAACGGCACTAAAAAGTTTAAGAAAAGTTACGGTAAACATGCATGAACATCATACAGAAAAGTAACACTTTAAATATAAAAAAGGAAAACTTCCGGGAAGTGTTAAGCGGCATAAAGGAGCAGCCTGCTCTGGACGTGACGAATCCGTGTCGCGGGGGCTGGTTTTCCCAGAACGGCTGTAAAAAGACGTGAATTTGCAAAAGAACCAACCAAAACCAAGAAAACGTATCTTACAGTGCGCAAGCGCGATGGCACCCGGCTGCCCGCCCGGCCGCAGCCGCGGTCACGCTCGCCCAGGGGGTGTCCACAGCCACTGCCCGCGCGTGGCCACCCCCGTCACACACCGTCCCCGCCCCTCGGCCGAGCCCAGGACCGCTGCCCGGCGGTTCTCGTCGCTGGGGCCAGCTTGTCCGGCTGCAGTCTCCCCAGCAGACACGGAAATGACCAACGCCCACGGGTGAGCTCAAGGGCGGAGGCGCCCCCAGACAGAGAGAAATCAGGCGTGAAGTCTGGACAGAAAGCCTTAAAACTGCAGCACCAGTGAGCCACACCTGCTCAGTAGGGACAGCAGCCCCCGGAGCTGTGGAAGCCAGCTGCTTCCGCACGGGCGGGGGGAGCAGAGGAGGTCCGCGAATCCACCATCTCGCGTGGCACCAGTGGCTAAGGAAGTACTCCGAAATATTCCCGTGCTCAACTCTAGGGCCAGATGCTTCTCCCGCTAGCGGCTCACACGGGTGACCCTCCGGTCCCCAGGCTGGACGGGCACTCCACGGGAGCCCCCCAGGCACCACGCTGGGGCACACCTGTTACCCGGTGCACACGGGCCGCGTGCGCCAGGGAGCCCCTGCTGTAAGACATGCCGAGCTGTCGTGTACGGGCTCCTCAGAGCCGTAGCTAAAATATGCCACTAAAGACCTGTTTAGAAAACACCTTTGAAAAAACAAGGGTAACTTTAAAAAATGGCAAGTTTAAAATCCACTTATACTTTTATTATAAACAAAACTTAAAAGTTTAACAAGCTGGCTCAAAACTCACCAAGTGTCAGGGTCACCAGCAGTAAGAAAAATGGTACTCCGTCACTGACTCCTCATGTTTCAGACCCATCGCGGCTACCCACAGCCACGAGGGGTGATGCAATCTGAATCAATGTTATGATTTTTTAAAAATCGCCACCTGTCAGGATACTGCTGACTAGCCCCCCTATCCATACAGATCAGCACCCACAGCCCACCTCCGGCACCACCTCAGTGAGGTGCTTGCTCACGGGGAGATCTGGGAGAAAGCCCTGTCTCGGCCAGTGCTGCTCAACAGAAAACGCTTGAGCAGGGAGCCCTGTGCAGTCCTCGGGGAGGCCCTCCTGGGCCAGAGGCTCCTCCAGCCCCGGCGAGCGGCCAGGCCACTGCTGGAAGACTGCATAGGGCAGTGGGGGCCGCAGCGCCTCGAGGGGAGGGGCCCCGCCCGGGGCCTGGGCCGGCAAGGCTGCCTGTGCATTCTTGGCGGAAGCCACAATGCTCAGAACCCGGGCGGCCGTGGGGGCGCCTCTAAAAAAAACAAAACCAGAACATAACCTTCTGTTAAACTCTGTATATTATTATTATTTTCTTTACAATAGAAAGTTAAAAATCAAGACTTAGATTTACTATACATTTTTTTTTTCCTCTCAGATTACAAAGTTTATATCATATAACTGGGGTTCCCTAGATCAGTTTCTTTAAAACAGTCCTAAAGAGACCAGAGAGCGTACAAAACAACTAAACACACCCGACGGACAGAGCGCGCTGCGGCGGGAAGCGGCCCGTGGCTGGAAGTCTCCAGATGTCACACACACACACAGAGGACACCACCACGGCCCGGAGCAGCGCGAGGGGACTGAGCACCAGCACAGGGACGGGGCAGCACCTGGAGGACCTGGCTCTCCCGCGAACCGAGGGAGACCTGCCTCTCTGCTACTTTTAATGCATTTCGTTTGTTCTGTTTTTCTTTTCTTTTTTTTCTTTTTCTTTTTTTAAAAAACGACCAATGGTGTTAATAAATAAAGTATCATATATACATGAAGTCGGGGAGATGGTTCCGGAGTGTGCGGCCGTGGCAGCGCTGGCGACGAGGTGGGGACACACACGGGGCTGGACTTTCGTAGAAAATTGCTGAACCTTACAAAAAGTCTCCTTTTTTTTTTTTTTTTTTTAATCTTTTCTTTTTTTTTTTTTTTAAGTTGAGGTAAAAGTTTCAGTGTATAGAAACCTGCACACGCAGCCACTAGAACCCCTCCCAGAAGCTCCTGACGTCACCGAGCTCAGAAGAACCCCGCACGCCCCCTTCCACGCACGCCCACACCTGCAGAGCTCTGCTCGGAGCCACGATGACCCCCTCGCCTAGCCCAGGGCAGCTTCTCACAGCAGGCTCGTCCGTCCTCGGCCCCTGCAGGAGGAGGTGGCCCTCGGACCCGAGGGTCAGAGCTCAAGGGACAAAGCCAACAGCTTCCAAACACAGAACCACCTCAGAGAAACTGCCTTTGGAGAAATTCTTTCTGGACCAGGTCGGGCCCAAGGAAAGGGGGTTCGCAGGGACGTTCGGGCGACATCGTCCGTGTCTTTCTGTGGTTACCAGGTTAGCGTCGGAAGTTGTCGTCCCCAAGCGATCGCGTTCAGTGGCGAAGGAAAGACAACGCGGACTCACACCTTCTCCTAAAGTCTAGTGTACACACACAAAAAAGACCTTTGACCTATTAAAGCAAAAACGGGAAGAGACCGTAACACTGGATGAAAAGGAAACCTGCACACCATGAACAGAAGCAGTATATTAACTGTGAGAGGGACACTGCGGAGGTCGGCGTGTGCGGCGGCCGCCGGCGGAGCTGCGTGCTGGCCGAGCCCGACGGGGTTCCTTACTCTGAGTCACTGCTGTCGGAGCTGGATCCGCTGGAGCTGCTGCTCCCAGAGTCCGAGGAGCTGCTGCTGCTGAGCCGGGAAGGCCCTCCAGGGGGCGCCGCGCCCGATTTCTCTGGGGGAGACGCAGCAGGTGAGGGGGGCGCTCCAGCTCACCTGGCCACCCCGCGCACCCGCGCGTGTCCCACCACACCTTCATCTGCAGAACACCCCCCGCTTCGCTACAAGCCACGACCCACCCACGTCTTGACCTGGTCCCTTCAACGCGAGCACGCATGTGTTGGGGTGGACTGATGCACCGCCGAGCGGGAGGCACTGGGAGACACAGTTCGTATCCGTCCCGGTTCCTGGCGCTGGCGTGGGGCATAAGACCCTTGGAATTCCCGGAGGGGTAAGAACGTTGTTCATAAGGAGCTGCTTTGGGTCATGCCAGAGTTTATGCTAGTAAGTGACTCTGGCTGGGGCCCCCAGATAGCCACAGGGTGGGGCTGGTCACCAGGGAGACCAAGCCATTAGGAGGTGGGAACTTTGAGCTCCCAGCCCATCTCCAGCAGGAAGGGGTGCTGAGAGGGGCGCATGGAGGAGAGGGGAGGCAGCACCTCATGGCCACTCCGGCTGCCACTCCTGAGTTAGAACCTTCACGATCAACCCGAACAGGAAGTAACGCGCGCTCCTGAGTTCTGGGAGCCACTGTGGCACGCCCCAGCTGCGGAGGGGTCGTGGGAACCCGAGGTGCAGCCAGTCAGTGGGTCAGCGGTGCGGGAGGCCCAGGACGTGCCCCTGGAGTCTGAGGTGGGAGCGGTCTGGAGGGGCAGAGCCTCTACTCTGCGGGGTCTGCTCCAAGTCTGAGCAGACGGTGTCAGAATTGAACTGAATTTCTGGACAGCCAGCTGGCGTCAGAGACGGACCCACTGGCGTGAGGAAAAGCCCACACGTCTGGTGTCAGAAGTGTGTGAGCAAATACAGCTCAGAGGTCAACACAACCGCTAATACACCAGAGACAGGACAAATGAACGCAGTCAACGAGGAACTGATGGGACCTGGGTGCGGGCTGAGCGTCCCACCTACTGATAGAGAAAGGGACCCACCCATCAGACAGGGGGCGCCAGGCAGTAGCAATGAGCCTCCACTCTGCCCTTCCCAGGGGTGGTCAAGGGGAGCCTCCCAGCCTCTGGTGGAGCAGGCAGGGCTACAAGCGTTTCGGCACTGGGCAAGGGCCTGGCAAGGCTGCAGCCCCGGCTGCTACATGATCCTGGAGGTGAGACCAGACGCTGACCACCACCACCTGGCCCCATTGTCCCCGGGCCGGGGAAAAGTCTTTGTCCTGCTCCTCACTGGCTCCAGGGACAGGAGGCAAGAAGCCAAACCACCTGCTCCCCTAAAATAAGACCTGACAGTCCACAGCCCTGCCGGGACCCTCCCCTCCGGACAGAGCGGCCGTGCGGCCACAGGAGAGGCCGCGCCGGGGCAGCCCGGCCCGCGGGTACCTTTCTTGGAGGGCTTCCTGTTGCTCAGCTGCCCGCTGACGTCCTGCAGCCGCTTCTCCAGCTCCTTCTTCTTTTCCTGAGCTAGCTCCTCCTTCGACTTGGCTGCCTGCTTCTTCCCGCCTGTCGCTGTGGGAGACAACCAGGCTGACACGGCCGGGCGCGGGGGACGGGCCGCCAGCTCCCAGTGCGCCCTCGGCCTCCTGGCTGCCCTCACCCCACCTGGCCCCGGGCCAGCTGACGTCCCGAGCTCCCTCATGGGCAGTCTTCTCTTTAATAAAACCACGTGGGTCCTCCCGATGTGGCTCAGCGGTTGAGCCATGCACTAAGAGGTCACCAGTTCGATTCCCGGTCAGGGCACATGCCCAGGTTGTGGGCCCGATCCCCAGTGGGAGTCACGCAGGAGGCAGCCAGTCGCTGTTCTCTCTCATCGATGTTTCTCTCTCTCTCTAAAATCAATAAAGGGGGGGAGGGCCCCGAGGTGGAAAGACCACGCCCACTCCAGACAAAAACCAACAGGCCGTGTGTGGCTTGGTGACCCCTCTGTGTGAAGGCAGAACCACGACTTCAAGGCCTGACCACCTGACCCTCTCGCTGCGGCCACAGCAATGCCCCAGCCTCAGCAGTGAACCCGACCAGTGCCTCAGGCCACGCGTGACTTCCCAAGGGTCACAGATCACCCCATCCATGAGTAGGCAGCTGCCCCCTCAGAGCAAGTAAGGACCAAGTGCCCCAAGGGGGCCACACTCAGGCTCAGGGGTGCTGGGTGGTCCTCGGCCACCACCCTGTTCTCCTGCCACCTCGGGGCTGCCGCAAACCTGCCCTTTCCTCTCACTCCCCAGGACCCTCATTCCCATCCGGTGAGCCTGAGCCAGTACTGCGTCCATCCTGGGAGGCCTCCGGACCCTTAACTCCAGCCAAGAGCCACCTTCCTGGCAGGGGACCATCGGAAGTCACCGGCAACCCAGGTCCCAAACGCAGACTCGGGAAAACTTGTGAATTGCCCGGGGGCTGAACAGGGTCCTGGCTGCCCACCGGGCTGGGGAGGGTCGCTCTCAGCCAAGCCCATGTCCCCAGCTGAGCACCGACAGGCAGAACAAGGGTCAAGGGGCTGCGCGGCGTCCCCCCCGGATGCAGAGGGCGGGAGGCAGGGAGGGGTGCTGCGGGGGCCAGCTCCGCCCCACCCCCGGACTTACAGAACGGCTTCCTTTGCTTCTTCTGTAAACAAGACTTGACGTATCTCTCAAGCTCCCGCAGCGTGGTGGGTTTCAGAGTCTCAAAGTCGATCTCGATCTCGTCGGGGTTGGAGTCCCGCAGTGAGGGCTCCCGGGACTGGATGATGTGCACCACCCGGCCCAGCTTCTCCCCGGGCAGCCGGTTGATGTCCAGGCTCAGCTGCCGCTTCTCGTCGTAGCTCATGGGCAGGCCCTCCTCCTCCTCCTCCGAGTCATAGGAGGCCGACGCCTGCTTGCCGCCTTTCTTCGGCTGTCTGAGGCGGGAGGCGGGGAGTCAGGGCGTCAGGGCGTAGGGTGCCTGCCCTTGGCCCCGCTCCCTTCCGCCTGGCCCCTGCTCCAGGACCAGTCTGTCCTGCCAAGGGCCCTAAGTGGCGCCCCAGGCAGAGAAGCCAGGCGGCCGCCTGCTGAGGGCTGCAGGGGTGTCTCCAGGGATGTGGAAGCCCTGGCCCCCGAGGTCAGCGCAGAGGCTGCTCCCAGCTGGGCGGTTTCCAGGCCTCACCCAGGACACAACTACCCTCAGTGCCCCAAAGGCATCCCCAACTCAACAGGTCAAACACTGACCTCTGTATTCAATGATCCACAAGGAGGCAGGCAAGGGGACAGAGGAATCAAAACAGACAGAACGTGATGAACTGACTAGGAAACCAAAGCCCAGGTGTACCAAGAATTACACTACATATAAACGGTCTAATCGCACCAATTAAAAGACAGAGATGAGCAGGCTGATGAGAAACAAGACCTGACTTGCTTGCTATCCACATGAAACCCACTTTAAACATAACGACAGAAGTAGGTTAAAAGGAAAAGGGTGGAGGAAAGAATCAAACATGCAAACAAGAATCAAAGGAACTGATTACCCCAGAGCTACGTGAATTTCAGACAAAGCAGACTTCAAAGACAGGAACGTTATCAGGAAAGAGAGACACTGCACCATGATAAAAGGGTCCCTTGACCAAGAGGACGCCACAGTCCTAAACGTGTGTGCATCTAAAGACCAAGCTTTGAGACAGAAGCGGCAAAGACCAACAGAACTAAAGGGAAAAGGAAGAAATCCACAACTCGACTTGGAGAATTCAGTAGTTTTCTCTTGGAAATTGACAGAACCAGCCAGTCAGCAAGAACAGCAAAGACCTCACCAAACGTCAACCAAGGTGGCCTGACCGGCAGGTGTTCGCCTGTGGGTTGCTTTGTCTCTTTGACTCCCCACCCGGTGTTCACACCGGCAGCAGAACACTCTCTTCTCAGGTGCACATGGTCTTCCAACTCTGGCCACACAACACATCTTAAATGCAAAAGTGTTGGTCATGCCCGGCCGGTGCGGCTCAGTGATTGAGCGTCAACCCTACACCAGGAAATCACTGGTTCGATTCCCAGTTGGGGCACATGCCCAGGTTGCGGGCAGATCCCCAGTAGCGGGCATGCAGGAGGCAGCCAATCAATGTTCTCTCTCATCGATGTTTCTCTCTCCCTCCCTTTCCCTTTCTCTTTCTAAAGTCGATAAATAAAAAATTTTTTAAATAAAAGTGTTGCCCTGGCCAGTTTGGCTCAGCGGTTAGAGCATTGGCCTGTGGTCCAGAGAGACCCGGGTTCGGTTCCCACTAAGGGCACATTCCTCCGTTGCAGTTTGTCCCCGGCCATGGTTGGGTCGTGTGGGTGGCAGCCACTCGATGTGTCCCTTTCACGTTGATGTTTCTCTCTCTCTCTCTCTCCCCCTCCCACTCTATCTGAACAAAATATCAAAAAATGTCCTTAGGTGAGAATAAAAAAATAAAATAAAATAAATAAAAGTGTTGGTCATTGCCTGGCCAGTGTAGCTCAGTGGACAGAGCGTTGTCCCATGGACTGAGCGGTCCGGGTTCGATTCCCAGTCAGGCATGTGCCCATGTTGTGGGCTCGATCCCCAGCAGGGGGCGTGCAGGAGGCAGCCGACTGCTATTTCCTTTTCACATTAATGTTGTCTCTCTCTCTCTCTAAGATAAAAAATAAAAAATCAATAAAAATATATATATATATAAAAAAAAGTGTTGATCACTGATCCTAATGGAATTAAACTAGAAACCCGTAACTGAGAAATATCTAGAAAAATCCTCAAATGTTTAGAAAGTAGAGTCACCCTGAAGACCCACAGAGAGGAAGTCTGTAGGGCAAGGGGAAGACACCCTGAACGGAATGAAGTCACCAGCTACCAAATTTGCGGGGTACCATTAAGAGAGTTTCGATGGACATGTATAGCAGTAAATACTCTGTAAGGAAAGGTCTCGCCCTGGCCAGTTTGGCTCAATGGTTAGAGAGTCAGCCCTTGGACCAGAGTCCCGGGTCGGTTCCCGCTAAGGGCACGCACCTCGGTTGTAGTTAGTCCCCGGCCCTGGTTGGGGTTGTGTGGGTGGCAACCACTTGATGTGTCCCTTTCACATCGATGTTTCTCCCTCTCTCTTCCCCCCTCTCCTCCTCCCATTCTATCTGAAGATAAATGCAAACATGTCCTTGAGTGAGAACAGAAAAATTAAAAAATAAATAAAGGTATGTTGTTTAAAAAAAAAAAAAGGTCTGGTGCCTGGCCGGTGTGGCTCAGTGGTTGAGCGTCGACCCTGTACCAAGAGGTCGCCAGTTCAATTCCCGGTCAGGGCACATGCCCAGGTTGTGGGCCAAATCCCCAGAGGGGGGCATGCAGGAGGCAGCCAATCGATGTTCTCTCTCATCCATGTTTCTATCTCTCTTTCTCTCCTTTCCTCTCTCTCTAAAATCAATAAAGAAAAAAAAAAGTGAAAGAAAAAAAAAAGGTTTCAAATCAATCTTCTAAGCTTCTACATAGCGCAGCTGGCTAGAAAGAGGAGAGTAAGTCAAGTCCACAGCAAGCAAAAGGAAATGGTAAAAATAAGACCGGAAGGAAAAAGTGCAAATGGAAAGAAGTCAATGAGCAACCAATAAAGCCAATCAATCTGTCTCCAGGTTCACCAAGAAAACGACCACAAACGACCACAGTCAGAAATGAAAGGCCCTGACCGGTGTGACTTGGTTGGTTGGGCATCGTCCCGCTACCGAAAAGCTACCGGCCCGACGTCTGGCCTGGGATGCAGGCCCCCCAGCAGGAGCGGTGAAAAGGAAGCATAATCACTACAGGCTCTATGGACGTCTTAAGGGGCCCTGGTTGATTTGGTTCAGTGATGTGAGCCAGCGGACCAAAGGGTCTCAGGTTCGATTCCCGCTCAAGGGCTGCTGGTTTGATCCCCGGCCCCAGTTGGAGTCATGTGGAGGCGACCAATGTGTCTCTCTTACACGGTTTCTCTCTCTCTCCCCCTTCCTTCCTCCCTATCTAAAAATCAGTGGAAAAATATCTTCAGGTAAGGATTAACAACCACCAAAAAAAGATATGAGGACACTGCCCACAAATTCTATAACTTAGGTGAAATGGAGCAACATCTTGAAAGGCAGAAACCCCCAAAACTCACTCAAGAACAAACTGCTAACATGACTAGGAATCTATTAAGAGAACTGAATTCACGGTTAAAAACCTCCCAACAATGAACCCTCTAGGCCCAGACCTCTCCACTGGGGAGTTCTACCAACATTTAAGAATCAAAACCAGGGCTACGCCCTGGCCGGTTTGGCTCAGCAGTTAGAGCGTCGGCCTGCGGTCCAGAGAGACCCGGGTTCGGTTCCCGCTAAGGGCACATACCTCGGTTGCAGTTTGTCCCCTGCCCTGGTTGGGTCATGCGGGTGGCAGCCACTCGATGTGTCCCTTTCACGTCGATGTTTCTCTCTCTCCCTCCCTCCCACTCTGAACAAAAAATGGAAAAATGTCCTCGGGTGAGGATAAAAAAAAAAAAGACTCAAAACCAGTTCTATAAATCTACCCCAGAAAACGGAAGAGGAAGAACAGTTCCCAAAGCATTTTTTAGGCCAGCATTATACTAATATCAAAACTGGACAGACAGGCCCCGGCCAGTTTGGCTCAGTGGTGAGCATCAGCCCGAGGACCGATGAGTCGCAGGTTCGATTCCAGCCAAGGGCACACACCTTGGTTGCGGTTTGTCCCGGGCCCTGGTCAGGGTCATGCGAAAGGCAACCAGTCAATGTGTCCCTCCCACTTCCACATCGGTGTTTTTCTGTCTCTCTCTTTCCCTCCCTCACACTCTATCTGAAGATAAACTAAACAATATCCTGGGGCGAGGATGAAAAACAAAGAAGACGGGCAGACAAGTATAAGGAAACCTGACTTCCCTTCCCCCTCCGGCAGGAAGAGGGAGGAACACTGGCCTTTCCCGCCACCTACCTGGCCACCGAGGCCCCTCTCCCCCCACTGCCTGAACCCTAACCCTCCCAGACAGCTCTCCTCGAGGGCACACCGACCTCGCCCACCTGCAGACCAGTCAGTCACCTCCAAAGGGCGACCTTCCTTCACCCTCGCTCCCACTAGGAGGTCAGGGTCTGACCACGTTTTTCTTGTTGTTGTTAACTGTCACCTGAAGATATTTTTCCATTTAAACTTTAGATAGACTGGGAGGGACGGAGAAAGGGAGAGAAACATCGACGTGAAAGAGACACACCGATTGGTTGCCTCCCACACGACCACAAGCAGGGCCGGGGATTGAACCTGCAACCCCAGTATAGGCCCTTGTCCAGGAATCAAACCTGAGGCCCTTTGGTCCTTGGGCCGATGCTCAGACTGCTGAGCCACACCGGCCAGGGCAACCTGACCACTCACGGCCCCCCCTCACACCCTCAGGACAAAAAGCCACCCCCCCCCCCCCCCCCCCCGAGCTAGCCAAGCTCGGCCACCTCACCCCGCCCCTCCCAACCCCGCAGGGCCAACTTGCCCCAGTTCTCAGAGAGAACAAGTGTTGCTGGCCCCACGGCGGACTCGCCACTCCTGATGCTCTGCGGGTGAACTTCCTCCAGGGGTACAGCTTCCTCCAGGGGTGCAGCTGCCACCCTTCCTCCAGGAAGCCTCCCTCCACCCACAGGCAGGCACCCCGGCCCCGAGGGCCCTCCCTGCCGTCCGCGCCCCCGTCATCCCTGCCTGTCTGTGGCACCGTGAGACTCTGCCTACCAGGCTGGGGGAAGTGAAGGGCCAAGAGCCCAAGTCACTGAGCCCAATGTCCCCAAATTAAACTCTTGGGCCCAGACCAGGAAAGCATCCCCTAAGCCTCAAGATGCTGCGGTCTCCACCAGGCGGCTGTCACGGCCGCAATGTCCGCGATGGACAGCAGCCCCGAGACCTGGCAGCAGCCCCCAGGGCAGAGCCCATCACCGGCCCAGCCTCCCCTCCAGAGGGACAAGACAAGGACCACTGGTCCCGACCCTGTTATCTGGGCAAGGACCTGGACTCTGGGTCACCAGGACGTGTAGCCAGGGGCCAGGCCCAGAGCCACACCCAGCACCCCCTGCGTCACAGCCCCAGGGCACGGGCGCCGGGGACCCACCTGCTGGCCGCGGTCGTGCTGTTGGCCTTCTTGGCCGGGGCCTTCTTCTGCGGGGCCTGCTTGGCCGGCGGGGCGGCCTTGGCCTTCTTCTCGTCCTCGGACCTGGCCTTGTGCCGCTCCCTGTCCTTCCTCCGCTTCTCCTTCTCCTTCTTCTCCTTCTTCCTCTTTGGCTTGTTCACGGGGGCCTGAGACAAGGCGGCCAGTTGCTCGTGCACGGCCTTCAGCTGGAAAACAGCAGGCGGCTGAGCGGTCCCGGGCGCAGGTGCCCCTGGAGCGGCCTCGACGGTGTGGACGGCGCCCCGGGAGCCCGCCTCTGCCCGGGCCCACGGGCCCACCGCCGGCCTGGTTTCCTCGGGTAAACTGTGGGCGAGCCGCCCGGTCACAGGTGGCCCAGTCGCAGCGAGATTGGCCCGAGGGGATGACCCTTCGCCGGGGCAGGTGGCACAGTAACTCGGGAAGTGGCAGATGTTTTTCTCATCGGTTTTTATTTTTCACGTGAGGACGACAGAGCCTGATCGGCCCCGTGCACGGAGGCGTCCACACAGCAGGTCTGGGGTCTGGGGTCTGGGGTCTGGGGTCAGAGCGGTCGGTCTGGTGCCCACAGGCTGCGCCAGGCAGGGGAGCAGACCAGCTCCAGCCTCCGGCCGGGTCAGGGCTGAGACAGCAACGTGGGCCACCAGGCACCTCTGGGCCGGCGCCGGCAGGGTCACCTCTCCCGAGGCTCAGGTCTAAGCCCGATGCCCACCCCACTCTGGTGACCGCAGGGCCACTCCAGTCTGCTCTTCTCCCTGCCAGGCCCCAGAACCACACCTGCAGCTGCCCCATGCCCGGGAACAGGGCAACCTTTCCAACTGTCGTCACAACCACCCCAGCAGGAGGAGCATCAGTCCCGCTTTGCAAATGAGAGGAGCAAAGCAGGCATCTGGGGGGTCAGAGACCAGGGCAGGACAGCCTCCCCGCGAGGGAGCCTGCACCCCACCTCCCCACAGCAACAGGCTGCTGGACCACACCAGGGGCTCCGGCCGGCGCCTGCCTCCCAGCCCCTCCGGAGCAGCTCAAGGCACCCGGCCCGCAGGCCCCGCCCAGGGGGCCCTGGGAGCTGACAGCCCCGCCCCCACCCAGGGAAGGACCGGGCGAGGCTCACCTGCTCCTGCAGCTCCGCCAGCCTGGTGGCCCGCTCCTCCTCCGAGTCGGAGCTGCCTGAGTCTGAGGAGCTCTCCTCGCTGCTGCGGCCGCTCTCCGCGCCCTTGCTCACCACCGGGGCCGCCGGGGCCGGCAGCGTGGGCGCTTCGGCCGGCTCGTCCGGCATCTTGGCAAAGCGCATCTCAAACACGTCCTGTGGGAGAGCAGGGACTGCCTGAGGTCCTGGGCGCCCCCGGGGTGGCCCTCTAGCATCCCCGAGACGCCCCTGGAGCTCCACGAGGCTGCTGGGCAGGTCAGCCCAGCTGGCTGCCCCTCCCTCGCTGGGCACTGCCGCAGGGCCAACAGCCGCAAAGGCAGCGGCCCACCAGCTCCCTTCGTAACCACGAGCCCTCTGCGGGCCCGTGAATCCTCCGCGGCAGGTGCGGGACCCTGGGCGGCGGCCACCTGCAGCCACACAGCCGGAGTGTGAGCTTGGCCTGTGTGCGGGATCCGGGTCACATGTTCTCACCTCTACCCTGTGACAGAACCGGATCATCACAGCTCACCCGCAGGTCCAACAGCTCAGGGAGCAAAAGCCTCGTCCTATCAAAACTGGCCTCAGAAAGCCCCCTGCAGCCCCTAGGCAGCAGGACCTGGGCCCTTGGGACACGGTCAGGGGAGGTGCCTCCCCCTGCTCTCCCGGGTGGCCCAGGGTGCCATCAGCCGGGGACGGGCAGCCACAAGGCCGGGAGCGGAGACTTCCCTTTGCTGAGTCCGCGTGCCTGAATCCACCGGGGTTTGCACACACAAGCCGCAACCCCACTGACGAGGCATCACCTGTCGGCGCTGACCCTGGCCTGCGAGGCTCAGCTGCCAGAGGGTTCGCTTCCGGGTCAAGGGCATGTATCCTAGGTGTAGGTTCGATCCCCAGCCCCGGTCGGGCTTGTGCAGGAAGCAACCATCAATGTGTCTCTTACACATCGACGTCTCTCTCTCTCTCTCCCCCCAACCTAACCTGCCACTCTATCTAAAAACCAATGGAAAAGTATCCTCAGAAGAGGATTAACCAAATAAGTAAATAAAGACCAGTGCTGTTGTTACCAAAGCACCAGCCCGCACGATCCAAAGTGAAGAGAAGAAAGAAGAGACTCTGAGCACTGAAATACGTGGGCAGCAGCCAGACTGACGGGAAGGCACCTTCACGGGTGCACACGCATGTCTGTGCGTGAGGCTGGTGTGCCCGGATGCATGGTTCCCTCCCCCACGCTGTCTATCTGAAGTGGTCAGGAGAGCATGAGGCTGCACAGGTCACTGGCACCTGACATAATGCCCACCAGCCTCTCTGACGGGCTCAGGACGCAGTCCCCATCCCAGCGCAGGAACTCGCCGGCACCTTCAGTAGGTGAGGCTGCAGCAGAGTGGACGCCAGCCTCTGTCCCTCCCCGTCTGGCCGGCTGCCTGCCCCGACCCGAGCCTGCAGCTCCTGTTTGTCACCAAGGCCCCGGGAGCAGGCCAGGGCCTGGCTGGCACTCGGCCACCGTCAGGACGAACGTGCTGCATAGACGAGGCTCCTGGCTACCTGCCCACTGGACGTCCGGGAGACGCCTGCGTCCTTCCTAAGATCCGCCCGGAGCTGCCGCTGATCCCGACTGTGCCCAGAAGGACCGTCCCCCGAGCGCGCCTCGGGTTACCTGCAGCTTCCGGGCCATGGCCACCACTTCGTGGTCTGGCGGGTTGTACTTGTAGCAGTTGGAGAACATCAACCGGATGTCAGCGGCAAAGCCCTGTGCGTCTGGGTACTCGCGGCTGTCCATCTTCTTCTGTAACACACAAGCCACAGGGCTGAGAGGCGCCGCCCGCTCCCCGGCCACAGCCGGACCCGCCCGCACAGTCCCAGGACCCTCCGCACGGCACTGCCCGCCGAGACCTGGCACAGGAGACCTCGCACACGGGCAGACGCCCTGCTCGACGGGGAGTCCGGCTCCCGCAGCCGCCACTAACCCCTTCCTCTCCAGAAGCCCACGGCTCGGCACACGGGGTCACCTGTCCTACACTGAGCTCCCTGCCGGCACAGGCTCCTGGGAACAAGGACCTTCCGGGCGGTCTCTCCACCAACGTCGGGGCCCACTTGACCATGAAACGAGACCCTCGGTATTTCTCCATGGACACCCCGGTTGCCAGCCAGCCCGGCCCTCACAGAAGCACCAGCCTGCGCGCTGCGGGGGCATCACCACTCCCCACTACTGCGGACGCCCCTCCGGGGGACCAGAGCCCTGCTGCTGAGCTCACGGCTTGAGGAGCCAAGGCCTGGGTCTCAGCACCGCCTCTGGCGGGGCCCCCACAGCTCCAGACGCGGGGCCCCTGTAACCAGCAGGGGTGGAAGAAGACGCCCCTTTGTGAGAGACCCCGTCCTCCAACCCCCCACTCCCCAGGTCCAGGCCAGGTCTTCTCTGGGGCGGCGTGGGCCTGTGTGGGGACCCAGGACCAGGAGCACCGCCCTGTGTGGCGCTGATGGCCAACCGACAGCTGTTCACCCTGAGCTAAGACCCCACACCCCCACAGGGAGACTGCCTCAGAGGCAGTACCCGTGGAAGCCCCCTTCCCGCTGCCCGTGGTCAACACCGGTCTGGAGAGAGCCGGGTGGAGCTGGGAGCTACTGCAGAAGGGCATGGCCCACGCACTCTCCCGGGAGAGAGAGTCGGTGACAGAGAAGGTGAAGTCCACCCTCCACCTGCCTCTGCTGGGCTTAAACTTACGCGGTGGCCGTCTATGTTTTACTCGCGTGGGCAAAGAACTGCCGGACAATAGCAGCGGATGCCGCTGGGCTCCCCGGAGGAGCAGGGGCCCCAGCACTGACCCCGTCCCTGTCCGAGGGAGCAGGCGCCCTGCCCTCGAGGTCAGGAAAAGGCCGAGAGGCTGCTTGGCCACCCAGCTGGGGAGGCGGAGCTGATGCCCACCCAGGCCTGCCAGACTGGAGTGAGGGCAACCAGCACCGCTGCCCAGGACGGCCAGGTCCGTCCTGCCTCTGAATCCACCACTGCCCCGGGGAAAGTGACAGAAGTAACCCCAGGCTGGTGTCACTGCCCCGTGAGGAGTGACCGGGACCAGCCGTCCAAGGCCCAGGCCTCGTCGATGGAAAAACAACTGCCCCTTTAAACGAGGGCCCCTGCCCAGGCCATGTGGATGGCTCATGGAGGACACGGCATCACATGGCCAACTACCAGGGCTCCTCAGGGCGCCAGTGACCAGCTGGCTCGCGCTCCCCCGGGGGAGGGCCCATGTGCGGGGCTGAGCCAGCCAGGGGCTCAGGGAAGACCCCTCGGGAGGTATCCCAGCCCTCAGGACGCCGCCCACCCAACACTTTCCCCGCCACGCGGGGCACAGCCTGCTCTCTGCTGGTCGGCACCAGCCTGACCGGGAGCAAAACGCACCCCAGCCCGGGAGCAGCGCCCTGGGCAGGCCGACTGCCTGGTGGGGGTGAGTCACCTGGAAGGGCCTCCTTGCCTGACCCCCCGTCACAGAAATCTGCCAAGGCTCCAGGGTGGGCAGCGGAAGCAGAGAGAGAGGAACAGTAAGCCGGGGACTGGGGCCCGAGGGCAGGAAGCTGCAAACTCAGCAGAATACGCCCCGCCGCGCCCACCTTGACGGTGCTGAGGTCCATGGGGTGCTTGATGATGTCGTGGTAGTCGTGCAGCTCCAGGGCCTCGGCGTCCACCGGCTTGTAGAAGGGCCAGGCGTAGGCCGCGTGCTTCTTGGACAGCAGCTCCTTGAGGATGCTGTCGCAGTGCCGCAGGTGCTCCGACAGCTTGCCTTTCTTGCCCGCGTGCTGGGGCACCTCGCCGTCCTCCAGGTCCTTCTTGGGCGGCTTGATGGGCCGGCCCCCGCTCTCCCGCCGCGCCACCACCTTGGCCTGCTTGGGGTCCGACAGCGGCGGGGGCGACTCGCTGCGGCTGGCGGTGATGGCGGACGTCGTGGGCGTGGTCGTGTCGGCTTTCCGCTTCACGCCCTTTTTCTGTGACGGCAAAACCAACGGTGAGCGCCAGGGCCGCAGACCGAGCGCGATCGTCCGGGCACCGGGCTCAGCCACGTGGGCTCAGCCGTGCCCATCCTCCCAGCTGCCCCGCGCGACGGGCGACGGAGGCTCAGAGGGCCACGTGGCCGGCCCACGGTCACAAAGCTGGTAGTGCTGAGGCTGGATGTGGAACCTACCCGGCGCTACCCTCTCCCCTGGCCCCCAGGGCTCACGGTCCCCTGGGCAGTCACCCCGAGCCCTGAGGTGCAGCATGCAGTCCGCCCGCACCTAACCAGCACCCAGGCCGCGCCGCGCCAGGGGCTCCAGGGTCAGGCGTGACCGATGGCACCACGCCGTGGTCGCCACCACGCGGGACTCGGGCTCGGGGACAGAGGGAAAGTCCTCGACAAGGGGCCTCGAAACCGATGCTCCGAGGACAACTGTCTGGAGCAGGAGAGGGAGGCGTGCGGGTGGGGGGGGGGACGCAGGCAGCGGCAGCAGACTTGGGCCGAGTGGGCGGATCTGGACGTACCCTGAAGGCAGTGGGAGCCAGCTAGTGTTCCTCTAGGGGAGGAAGCCTCCACGCACCCACAGAGCCCTTAGCGGGCGTGTCCGGGGCAGACATGTTTAACGCCCGGGCACCCCTGGCCTGCAGGTCTCTCCAGACACTAACGACCGGCCGTGTTCCAAAGCCAGGGCTGTGTGTCCCTAAGGCCATCGCAGCGGCCCCCGCATCTCAGCTCAGGCAGGCAGGGAAGCCCCTCAGAGCCACAAGCACCTGGGGGACGGCCTCGCAGGGGGCTGCTGTCCAGAGCACCACCAGGGCCGCTGCCCCAGCCAAGCCGCCACCCCCAGGCTGCCAGGGGCACGAGCCAGCTCTCCACAAACACTTAACGGGCACCCACGGGGTGCCAAGCGCGGGCCGCAGAGGCCCAGCGGGCTCCTCTGGCAAACAGGACATGCTCCGAAAACAGCCGGGCACTGTGGGCGGCCTGGCCAGGTGCCCCCCGGAACTGCAGGCAGCGAAGGCCAGGGGGAGGGGAAGCCACGGAGGGGGCGTTACCTTCGGGGAGCCATTAACCCCTCTGAGCGCCTGCTTCCTCATCTGTAAGATGGGGGAATACTGCCTGCCCCAGAGGGTCGCTGTGAGGGTCAAATCGGAGAAGATGACAGGTCAGTGCCTGCCCGGGGCCTGCCCAGGGGGCAGTGGGAGAGGGCGGGACTCACCAGCCCCGGACTGGCGGGCGGCCCCCACTCCTGCCCAGACCGTCCAGGACTGTCCCTGAGTGAAAAGATCCCAGGCGAGCGGGGAGGCGGACACACGGGTGTCACAAGAATGAGGGGTACAAGACGCAGGTGGAGGCAATCGACGGGGCCGCCCCTCAGGACGCAGCCAGGCCACCGCCCTCGCCACGCCGACGGCCGGAAATCCACGGGGGAGCCGGGGCACTGTGAGCTGGACACCCCGCCCCGCCCCCTCCCCGCGCACACCTTCCCCACCTGGACCCATCGCTGCGACAGCAGGGTTTCAGGGCCCAGGAAGCTGGCTCCAGCGCAGCCTGCCCTCACCAGCTGTGTGACCGCAGCTCCCCGAGCCTCAGTCTCCTCGTCCGCGTCGGGAGTGGCCGCCTGTCCCCACAGGCACAGCGAGAACCATTCCAAAGCCCCATGCTCCGGGCTCCGGACACCGGACAAGCGGTCGGCGGCCCGGGGAAGGTGGCCGAGCCCCTCCTGCCCGTCCCACGCCTGCCCAAATCCAGGAACCCCGACCGGCGCTCAGACCCCAGGGACGCTCACCTTGATGACGGGAGGCGTGGGAGGGACCACGGGGATGATGGGTGTCGTGGGAGGAGGAGGGGCGGCAGCCGGGGGGACAGGGACCGACGTGACGTTTGCAGTGATAGTTGGCACGGGGGTGGCAGCAATGATGGGCGTCTGGGAGACAGTGGGGGGGACGTTCTGAAAGGGGGTCACTGGGGAGACAGAGGACACGGCTGCCACTTGCTGCGTACCTTGAGGACAAGGAGAGGAGGTTAAAGAGAGCTCGGTCAGGCAGGCAGAACAAACTCCATGCTTCCAGAAGCTTCCTGGATGATCCCACGGAAGGCCCAGATGCCAGAGGAGCCCCTCCTCCCAAGGGGCTCTACCTCTTGGCCGCCTCCACGGAACCCACCCACACCAAAGGCTCCACTCTGGCCAGGACCCAAGTCTGAGGAGGGGCCAGGACAAGTCATGCATCCTGGCAGGTAAGAGCCAGGCCTGCACCCGAAAAATCGGGGTTAAGTCGGACTCCACCAGTAACCACCTCAGTGACCCGGACGGAGCTACTACACCACACACAGGCCCCATCTGCAAATCGGCACAGCCAGCCGTGCTGCTGGGCCACCCCCGGGCAGCCTCTCCATCGGGGACGACCTCCGTGCCAGGTTTCAGGACCAGGTAAGACCCCAGGGCTCCCAGTGCTAACCCTCAGCCCCGCCCTGCTCCCCGACAGGTGACACAGCCCCTCTCCTGTCATAGAAAGGACAAGTGCTACAGAGGCCAAGTCCTAGGAGGGGACGGGACAGCTGTGACTTCTGTCCAGGCTTCCAGAACAGGAGGCCTCAGAGCCAGGGCCGAGGGAGCAGCGTGGTGACCGGCGGCTGGCCCATCTCCTCCCCAGAGTGCTTACAGGCAGACCGTACCACCACAGGCCACCACAACTCGGACAGCCTACGGGCCACACAGCCGGGTCCGGGCCCCTGGAGTTCATGTCATCACTGCCTGGACCTCAGACGGGGAACCGAGCCCAGAGGCGCCAAGGGACACCAGAGAATCTGCCCGGGGCCTCGGGACAGAATGACCACACCTGTCCACACACCTGTCCACCCTTTACCTGCACTCTGGGCTCCCGCAGCCGGTTTCCGGCCTTTGCCCTTCGGAGCAGGGGGTAGTAATTCAACTTCCTCCTGGGGCATCTGGGCCACTTTCTGCAGAAAAATTTTCTCTAAGGCTTGGGCCATTAGCACTATGTCATCTGTGGGCTGAAGACACGAGGAGAGCTGAGGTTACAAGCCGGGGAAGGAGCCGCGCCTGCAGGACTCGGCCGGCGGGGCTCAGACACCTTCCCTTTGAAGTCGCCCAGCGGCCGAGGCTGGGCAGCGCCGCCGGTTAGAGCGCTGCCCCCCACGTGCCACGGTAGCGGGTTCAATCCCGTCGGCACGAATGAGAATCCACCAGCGAATGCACAAGTAAGTGGAACAAAAACCGATGCTTCTCTCTCCCTCCCTCTCTCTAAAACCGGCGAGTACAACGTAAGAGGTTCCGGTGGGCGGGAAGGAGGGGGGCGGAATCAATTGTAACGTGGAAACTCCTGAGGGGGTTCAGAAAACCATGGAGACGAAAGTGCACCCTTCACGAGCCACAGGGACGAAAGGGGAGTCGTCCCCTCGCACGCTGGCCGTCCACCCGCATGTCACCATTAAAACAGAGACCCCGCACAGCTGAGGTCACAGGGGATTTCCCTCCTCTGGACACCCCCCTTGGACGTGCTCCCTGCCAGGTGGTGGCCACCGGGGGACGCGACAATGCGCTCAGCCAGCCCGACTGCTTGCATGCAGGGGGCACCTTCCACCTACGGGCCCACACACTCCTCCCGTGTCTACAGGGGTTTCCAAGGGCTCGGCTGGCACCTCCCTGGGGAAAGGCTCACTTCCTCCAGCCGGGACGCAGCCCACGAGGTAACAGCTCCGGGCACGGCCAGCGCACGGGGAGTGCCCGTAGGGAGCCCAGGCGTGACGGCGTGACACACAGCGCCCCGGCCAGCCCCACGTCACCCCCCGCCAGGTCTCCCGGGGCTGGTGGGCAGCTCACACGTGCCGGGCCCGCCACGAGCATCCTCTTACCTTGTTATAAATATAACAATTTGTAAACATGGTGTTGAAGTCCTGCATACATTCACTTGCGCTCCAATAATAGTTATTCTCTAGTCTCTTCTTGATGGTTCCCATATCCATCGGGTTTTTTATGATTTTATGGTAATCCTAGGAGAGAGATTTTCAGAGGTGTCACTGACAGGTGCAGCATGATGATCCCCACGGGCAATGTGCCCACGGAACAGTCTCCTCAGCTGGGCTGGGTCACGGCTGGGCCACAGGCAGCCTCTGTTCCCCCGAGGGCAGGTGGCGTGCAGCCTGGGGGAGCCCCCTGGGGAGGGCGTGCAGCCTGGGGGGGCACCCGGCCAGCTCGGAACCTCGCACCTCACAAGGGTTCTACGCGGAGGGCAGGTCCCTAGAGACGCACAGAGCGGGGCGCTGGAAGGGGTCTCCACCCTGGAGGTGGGGGCCCAGCCCCTGCCTGGCTTCCACACCTCACTCAAGGGCCTGCAGGAGGCCGGGGCTGAGCGGGGTCCAGAACCCAGCTACCAAGTGCTATCCAGGGGGTCCCCTTAAGCACTCCGGGTATCTGGGTCCAGGGAGGAGAGCCATCGGACGGCAGGTCGGTACTGAGCATCGGCGGGGGTGGCGTGCCCGGGGAAATGGGCCTGGACCTGCTCTGGGGACACAGCCTCACGCGGGGACAGAGCACACACACGGGTGAGCCTGGGCTCCTGCTCCCCTCTCCCCGCCCCCGGGGACAGCCGCCCGCCATTCCCACACCCCGGAGTCGTCCCTCTTGCTCCTTGGGCACTGTGGGCTCTGAGCTGCTCCCCGCTGGAGACACGGGCTGTGCCGGGCTCCCCAGCACCGGCCACAACTCGGGTACCACCTCTGCCGGGGCCGGAGGACACCCCTCCAGCGGGCGGGCGACAGAGGGCGGGGGTGGCAGGACTCACGGGCAGGTTCAGCTTGATGGCGTCCACGGGCTGGTAGAAGGGCCAGGCAAACTGGTGTTTCCACAGCGTCTTCACCACCACGTTCTGCATGTACTGCAGCTGGTTGGTCTTGCGGCCGGGCTTGGCGGGGTTGGCCACCTCCGGCGGGGGCGGGTTCACAGGGCCCGGGGCCAGCGGCACGCCCGCGGGGGCGACCGTGGTGGAGGCGGACATCCTCCGGGGCTCCTCACTGGCCGTCACAGCAGCCACTCAGGGAGGCCCTCGCTCCCTCGGTGCCCCCCGCAGAAGCGCAGCATCCCATTTCCAGGCCCGACCAGGCAGCACCTGTGGGAGAAGGGACAGCGGAGGGAGGCGGTCACCCCGGGCCCCCGGCTCACCCACGGCCCCACGGCAAAGCCAAGTAACTGCCTCAGTCAAGCGAACCCTTTCCTGCCGCAGAACCGCCCTCCACGGGTCTGGAGCAGCGGGACGGAGAGACACTGGGCAGGTGGGCACACGCAAGGGTAGGAAGGCGGCTGGTGTCCAGGTGGGGACCAGGGACCCGGCTCGGCTCGCGACCCGCTCGCCACCTGCCTGCTAGGGCTGACTCGACACTGCTGTTGGCCGTGGCAGTTTTTTAGGGAATGATTCACAGGCACAGAGCTACGTGGACCCCGCAGAGCCGAGCCTGACAGGCAGACCCCGAGCGAGGCCGCCCACCCAGTGAGCGAGGTTCTACGGTAACCGCGAGAACGGCTCTGGGTTTGTGATGGCGGCTGGGCTGTGACCCTGGCGGCCCGCAGCCAATCGGGAGGGTGGGAGAGGGCGCTCGAACCCTGCACGCTCCGGAAACGGGTGGGGGGCAGCTGCGGGCCTCGCCGGGCCCCTGGCTCTCAGGAACGCACAGAGCGAGCACGCGCAGAGCTGGGAAGCACCACCACAGCTTGGGTGGCACCAGGAGACCAACCAGAGCGCGGAGGGACACGCACAGTGAGAGAGGCACAGGGCACCCCGTCATCTCTCAGGAGAGAGCCAGCGCCCCAGGTTTGTCTGCAGGGCAGGCAGACGGGGGGCACACAGGAGCCTGGGCACCAGAGATGCCCCTGTACACTGCCACGCTTCAGCTTTTCTCGAGTGCTCGTCTCCATTTAGACAGGTGGCGACACCCACCACGAGGGGCCAGATGGCCTTTGGGGAGACAGAGCGGCATGTGTACGGCCGCTGGAACCAGCCCTCTGCAACTCACTAAAGAGATCGGTAAACCGTAAGATTTCTGGAGCCGGGGAGCAAGCACCCCATTGGTAGCCTGCAACCTGCCATGGGGTGTGTGTGCCCCCATGACCTGTGATCGCTGGCACAGGCCACGGCCGAGGCTCCCCCTGGGGGGCTGCTGGGGAAACTGACGAGCACCACACTGTCTCCCCACTGCACACCTGTCCTGAACACCCACCAGGCACCGCCTGTCACCTGGGGAGCCCAGCTCCTCCCCTCCACGCCCTCCCAAGGTGAGCTGGTGCCGCTCCCGCCCCTCGATCCACCACCCTGGGCCGTGACCAGGCAGCTCGGTGGCTGGTGCTCATGACAATGAGGCTGCGTCTTCTCACCAGGCAGAAAGCCGCTGAGCCTGGCACAAGCCCGGGTCATCCACACCTCGCTGACCCACGCCCACTGCCCACTGGTCAGCAGTCCACACTCCCTCAGAGCCCGACCACTCCTGGTCCAAGTCCTAGCACCGTGACCTCCTGCTGGGATCGCCCTGAGTCGACCCCCTGGTGGCTCCACAGCTCAGCACTAACGCACCGACCTGCTCTGGCCTGCAGGGCCCAATGGGACCAGTGACTCACCTCCCCGTCCAGGCCCAGCTCTCGCAGCCTCGCCTCCTTCAGGCCTTCCTGCTCCACCACCACCGCCTGCCGGGGTCTGCCGGGGCCTCCCAGGGCCAACCCAGTTCTGTCCCCTGCCGGCCACAGAATCCAGCCCCCCAGTGTCCCCATCAGGCTGGAGAGTAAAAGGCCAGCTGGATAAGCAGCAAGGCCCCCCGGCTCTGCTCTGCCGGCTGCGCGGGGCCCGGGAGCTCTGGCGGGGAGGACAAGGGTCCTCCTACCTGCCCCCCGTGCGGTCAGCCCCCGACGTCAGGAGGGTGCCTGGTGCTGCCACTCAGCCAGGGAGCAGGGATGGGCAGGACGCAGGGCCCACAGGAAGGCCCGAGGCTCCCCTCCAAGCTCAAGGACAGCCGGGGACAGCTCCCTGCAGGGATGAGCATGCCCAGCCCTCAGCCGCCCTCCCTCTGCCAACCACGCCTCACCTGTGGCTGAGCAGGAAACCAGCTCCGGCCACCACCAGGGGCTCACCACACCTGGGGACAGGCCCAGCGGGAGCCAGGCAGACAAGGGACCTCCAGGGTTCTGCCGCACACCAGCCCGGCAGGCGCCCTCGGCACTGCCAGGGGGCTCCCAACCAACAGTCTGAGCTCAGAGCCGGGTGCCCGGCCCCACACACGCTCACAGGACACCAGTGGTCAGTCCTGACAGGCCACAGGGAGCCCTTCCACAGGCCAGAAGGGAACCTGCCTCCATCTCTCCTTCGAGGGGCGGAAACTGGCCCGGCAGGGTCTGTGCGGCTCGGAGGGGCACAAGCGAAAAGGGAAGCTGGGTACCCTAGTCCGCGGGGACTGCACATGCGATGGGGGCTCCCCTCTTCCACAAGGTGGAGACTACCCCCAACACCTCCACTGAAGCGGGGGCGGCACCCTATACCCTCAGACACGTCTGGGTGACAGGGCTGCCTTCTTCACCTCCCACCGTGCCCCCCCAGCTTGTCCTCTGTCCCCAGCACCAGCTCGGCAGGAAGGGCAGCAGAGCATACGCTGGGTCCCCCCAAACCCCTGCCATCCCAGGTACCAGGACCCACCCCCCTGGAATGGCCACACTGGCTAAAGAGGTGACTTGGCAAGGGTGCAGCCGGAGACCTCAGGCAGGACCCGTCCCCAGCAGGAAAATGTCCCCAAGAGGGAGGAAGACGGGCCATAAAACTGTACAAGCCCCCGCCCCCCCGGGGCAGCGGACAGAGCAAAGAGGCCGTGTTCCTGCAGCAGCGCACACAGCTCACCCCTTCAGAGGGGCCCAGGACCGTCCCCTCCAGTCGTCCCTCCCGGAAGCCAAGGCGGACGCAGCGAAAACCTGGCCTAGCCTTTCCCCTGGGGGCTCCTCCAGGCCAAACGGTGACGCCGCAGGTCCAGCCGAGGGCAAGGGAGACCCACAGGCCAGCGGGAATCCCACACAGTGCCCGCCGGCCCCAGGGGCTGCCTACTCTCTGCTTCATTTCCGAAAGGACACGTTTTGTTTTTCGAACACATTAACTTTGAAAAAAAAAAATTGTGAAGGAATCTATTTTGGAAAATGCGCGAAGAGCCTGGCCGGTTTGGCTGAGTGGTCGGAGCGCCGGCGTGGGGACCAAAGGGTGGTGGGCTGGATTCCCAGTCAAGGGCACCTACCTGGGCTGCAGGTTCGGTCGCCAGCCTCGGTCAGGGTCACGCGGGAGGCAACCAGTCGAGTCTTTCTCACATCGAAGTTTCTCTCTTTCCCTCTCCCTCTTAAAAAAAAAAAGAAAAACGGGAAAACATCCATGAGAATTAATAAGAAAAAAAACACTCAAACACAAACCAACCAGTTGAGCACAGGGTTGGGGCCTCCATGACTGCTCCTGGTCAACAGTCCAGCGTCTCGGGGCTCTGTCTCCTCCTCGGAGGTCCGGGGACAGGCCCAGCAGCCCAGTGTGTTCCCGAAAGGGGCACCTTGTCCGAGAGGAGACGCTCAGCCACACCGCCCGTCTGGGCTCAGCCTCAGCAGGGCTGCCAGCCCCCGGGGTCCGGCCGGCCTGACATCCCAGCAGGGCCCACTTGTCAGCGCAAAGCCAGGGCGCGCAGCAGCTGTCCCCTCGGCCGCCGCCGGAGACTGGGTGGGGGTCAGGGCCACACCCCGAGCCCGGGACTGCAAGTGTGCTTCCGGGGAAATGAAAACTCAGGCCAGCAGCTGACCCTCCCTCAGGGTGTGGCCCCGAACTGAGAATCAGGCAGGAATGAACGGGTCTAAAAGCCACCAAGGTGAGACCACTGTGGAGTCACCGCAGGGTGGCTGTCCACCCGCGCGGTCGCGTCTCCGCCCGTCCTCCGGCGTTCTCGGCGACAGCCGCTCTCTGTGACGTCGCCCTGACACCCAGCTAGGCCCCACCCGCACAGCTCACCCCACCACCCTCGGCCCAAACCTCGGCTGGGGGAGGCCAGGGAGCAGCCAGTAACGAAAACATCAAGCAATACACGAGTGGTCGACGCCCCGAGGCCTCCAGCCCTGCTGAGGGGGAGGCCCACGCTGTCCCGAGGGCAGGACCCCGTGCCTCCTGGACCTGGCTCCTACCAGCAGAGGTCTGCAGTTTGCTTTTCGATAATGGGGGGGTGTGAAAAAGAGGGGGGCCTGGGGGGGGCAGTACATCTCCGTAACGACCCACCTCCCTCTGTGTCTACATTTGAAAACTGCTACCCCACCAAAAGGAAGAGGGTGAACCCCCATTTTCCTTGGGTGCTCTGGACCCTGCATCCCTCACCCCCACAGCAACTGCGAGATCTGGGGGGACACGACCTTGCTCCCCGTTGCCCCCCTGCCTGGCAGGGAAGAGGACCTCAGTGTGTGGGGGACGCGGGACAGAGCAGCCGGGCCAGGCGAGGAAGCGAGTGTAGAGACCCTGGCGCCCGCAGACCAGACACGCGTGAAGTGTCGGCTGCAGATGTGCCCTGAGCCCACCTGCCCCAGGTGGACAGGGCGTCCCCCGGCGGGCAACACGCAGGGGCAGCCTGCGGGCATCAGGGCCCGCGAACCCGCCAGGCTGGACGGTGGGCAGGCAGTGTGCAAGTTCGCCGCGGGCCTCCCCACGCACGGGCAGCGGTTCCGGAACCCGCACCCGCTGTCCGCTGTGACGCTCGCCGCACACCCTCTGGCCTCCCCTTCGCCCCAGAAAGCTCCTTACTGCACAGACAGCACGCCCCTCGTGTGACCAGCGGTCACGGTCACGGCGCCGGGACGCTGCAGTGCACAGCCGAGCACCCCCTCTGCACTGGGCACAGCAGGGCAGAGATGGGGCCCAGTTTCTAAGAGGGAAACTGAGGCCCAGTAACCGCCCATTTCCCCAGGCCCCCACCGACGACGGGGGGCAGCACCTGCAAATCTGGGGAAAGACAGACAACCTGCCTCTGACTCGGGAGGATCCGAAACTGCCCAGAGCGGAAACTCACCCGACCACAAAGCCCTCAAACAGCCAGCAGAGCCCAGCTACAGGGTTCCGGCGGGATCCTG